GGTAAAAATACTCCTTAAATATTTCAATTGCCTTGAAAGCCCAATTAAGATTGCTATAAGTTGGTTTTGACTGGATGGCATTTAATATGTGACAATGTTAGAAAAGGCATACATTCCATATGGTAATATCAGATTTGTTTCAACAAAGAGAAGTGATTTGAAAGCAGATTCATATATTAGCATTAGTTTTATTTCCCTTTGAAATGAATTGTTTTTACCTCTAACATTGAGTTACCATGCCAATTTGGAAGATTTCAATGAGTAATAACATACTTGCTGACATGTGATTGCTTCATTGTCATAACAGCTATAAAATTATGTGAGTGTTCAAGTAACTGATAATAGAATTCCCGAAACAACTTATTTTTTTAAAGTTTTTTAGCTCTCAGTATGTAGATTAAACCCAGAAAAATATGATGAGTCGGAATATACAGTGATATTTTCCAAAGCTACAGTGTCACAGAAGATGCCATGTAAAAACAATAACCTTTTCAGTTCCCAAAGTATTCTATTTAATACATCAAGGTTTTCAGACATGTTACATGTTAAACATATTACACTGAAATTTAAGTTAAGAGAGTAAACCAAAATGTTCAGCATTTTAAAAATTGTTCTTCGTGGTCTCTTTGAATGTGCATGAATGGGCTAAGTCTGCACCTGTGCAGGGCTCCTTGGAATTTTCTTGAGCTTTCAGTCACGTGTTCGCTAGGATGTCCCATCCCCAGTGTACTTTCTCTGCCCAACTGAAGAGCCCCTTTGTTCCTTTTTGCTGCCACTGAGGTTAGATTCCTCTTGATGCTGGAGCTGCGTTGTGTCTCTGGTGAGCTGTTCCTTTTTACTTTTACTTTTTTCTTTTCTTTTTTTAAATTTTTTTTATTTTTAACCACTAGGGATAAGGTAAGCAGTACAAAATGTAGAGGGGGATATGGGGGAAAGAGGGGGAAGGAGAACACAAAATATACTGTTATCCAATCTGTTCATGTTACGATATTTTCGCCTTTCTACAATTTGATTGCCCTCCAGGTTTTAATTTACAGTTACATCTTACTTTAATTCTATGTTATTCAAGCACTATCTGGTGACTCAGGCCATTTATATAATAAATCCCATCGTTCAGTTGCCCTGTGTATTGGACAGTCTTTCAGCACTTCTGATAGAATATCCATTTCTGCCACTTCCCATAGCTTCTCAATGAGTTTGTCTTGTTTCGGTATCTCCAATTTCTTCCAATTCTTAGCGTAAAGAATTCTGGCTGCAGTAACTATCTGTCTGTCTGTCTGTCTATCTAAACTTATCTTATCTTATCTTACCTACCTACCTACCTACCTAAAGCAGGTAGTTCTTTGTCTTTATCTATCTATCTATCTATCTACAGTATATACAGTGGCGCCTCGCTAGAAGATGATAATCCGTTCCACTGAAATCGCTGTTTAGCGAAATCATTGCCTAGCGAAAAGCATTTCCCCATTGGAATGCATTGAAACCTGTTTAATGTGTTTCAATGGGGAAGAATTGTTGTTGTCTAGTGAAGATCGGCCATAGGAAAGCCGCTTTGCGAACTGCCGATCAGCTGTTTAAATTGCTGTCTTGCAAAGCTTAGGTTCCGAAAACACCTGTTTTGCGAGCGCAGAGGGAGATGTCAAAATCATCATCTAGCGAAAATCAGTTTGCGAAGCAGGGACCAAACATTGTCCAGCGAAATTCCTCCATAGGAATCACTGTTTTGCGAATCACTATAGCGATCACAAAAAGTCAATGTCTAGCGAAAAAACTGTCATGTTACTTTTCCATATTTGCAACCATTGATGAATATCAATATTATGTCCTATATTTTGTGCCCACCTAATCATGCATTCTTTTACCATCTCATCTTGCATTTTAGTTTCAAGCAAGTAATCATAAATTTTCTTAATTACTTTATCATTTGAGCCCAGCAGAAGTTTATCAAATATCATTTGTTCTGTGTAAAAGCCCTCTATTTTATCTTTTCTATACCTAGATCCCACGTGTTGTGGACCACCAGTGTAGATATATTTTTGGTATTTCTAACTCTTCTTTGGATCTTAACTCACAACCATTTTTAATAGATCTTAATATCTTAAAAGTTTCGCTTTTAACATGGAGCACAACACAAAGTGCACTTGATACTGCTCCCGAGCAGGAAGAGGCACACACTCTCTGGGAGATGCCTTCATGACAAGTGGGGCTCTGGTCTCATATACATTCCCCCCCCCCGCATCCCTCTGATCCAACAAACAACCATCTGCCTGCATCAGGAGTGGACAAATTATCTTCTCATAGCACCCTGGTGGCTATGCCAGCCATGGTTCACCACACTGAAAATGATGACATTGACTTTCTCCACTTCCCATGATTCTACCATCATCTAGCACAGAACAGCAGCAGTGTCACCCGCCCAGACCTCAAATTTCTCCACCTCACCACCTAGAGGATTCACCCCCATGGTAACTTCTTGCCAGAGCAACGAAACCATCTACCATCTTGCTGTACTCCTACAAATGGAATCCTTTTACTACCTTTGCACAGTCTAAGGACCTCTCAGCTGTACCACTTACTCTGGATACGCTTCTCTCTTTCATCCTACACCTCTTCAAACGTGGACTATCTCATTCCACCATAAAAGGTCTACATCGTGGCTATCATCACACATCAACCTGCAGGTTCAGAAATATCAACGTTTTCCCACCCAGCCCAAAAGAGGTTCCTTAGAGGGCTCAAAAACATTCAGCCTTCCCCCAAACCTCCACCCCTGCAGTCTCTGCAACTGTTACTCCACCATTTGACCTGTCCACCCTTTGAGCCTTTGGCCACTACTCCGAACAAGTTTCTTTCCCTTAAGACATTGTTTCTGGTCACCATTACATCTGCCAGACGGGCTAGTGAACTAGCAGCTCTGTGGGTAGATCCTCCTTCCACCCAGACAAAGTCACCCTTTACCCTGACGTCTCCTTCCTACTCAAGGTTTTCTCTGATTTTCACATCAAACAATCCATTGTCCTCCTGACTCTGTTCCCATTGCTTTCCTCGGACTTGGAACACATGTTCCAAATCTTTGTGAAGCATTCACTCGCCTTCTGTTTCTCGCACAGTAGATTTCATTAAGTCTCCTTGCCTATTCGTCTGTTGCCAGGGACCAAACAAGGTTATCAAGCATCTTCACAGATGCTTTCCTGTTGGACCATCCAGACCATCACCTTGGCTTATGAGCTGGCAAATAAGCCTTCACCTGCCTCGGTCAGGGCACACTCCACAAGAGCCATCTCTACATCCACAGCCTTGCTCAGAATAGGCATCCTTCAGTCTAGAGAGACTATGGTAACATGCTCTGAATCGAGGAGTGTCCTCTCCAGAGCATGAAGCCTGGGTAAAGTAATATGGAGGATAAGCTGTTCCCGAAGCAGCAGATCCCCCCTCTCCACATTGCTGAAATGGTCCAATGGAAAGGCAAGAGCCAATACAACTGGTTCCAGCAACGTCGCAGGAGTTGGCAGAACGACACGAGCTGCCTTCGGGACTCCAGCTCCGGATTTTGCCTCTAGGTTAACTCCTGAAGCCTTTTCCATGAGTGGATATAGCCACAAGGCAGTGGAGGTTTGAAATCGGAGTTTTCCTTCTCCTAGATGGGCTGTCTTTCATGGCTGACCAGCCCCACCTACCTGGCCTGCTCTTTAATAGTGTGAAAGTATGATCTGACCCTTAAAACTTTCCTGCCTCCCAGGCTTATGCAAATCTAATTGGCTTTCCTATTTACCATAACGGCGCGCGGTCCTGGGACACACCCTTGCTCAAATGCACTGATATTTCACACATTTGCAGGACAGCTACCTGGTCCAGGCCCTCCATGTTCATCTCACACTACAGGCTAGATGTTTGTGTCAAAAGGGATGCATATTTTGGACGGGCTGTCTTGACATCTATCCTATCATGATGGCCCACCTTCCATTAAGTTAGCTTGGTAATTAGCCATTCATGTGCATTCACAGAGACAACAAAGAAAAAAGAGTGGTTACCTAACTGTAACTCTGCTTCTTCAAGTGCTCATCTGTGAATCCACACGTCCCACCCTTCATCCGCCCTCTGTTCATCATCCATGTCTCCTTTTTTCTGACAGTGGGGGACTCTTCTTAGGAGCTGAAGGGCTCTTAAGATGGGCAGAGCATGCACACTAGGGGGGGAAACATTCTAGTGAACATGTGACTAAAAGCTCTAGAACCTTCCGAGGAGTCCTGCTCAGGCTCAGACTTAACCCATGTATGTGGATTCACAGCTGACCACTTGAAGAAACAGAGTTACAGGTAGGTAACCTCTCTTTTACAAACATAACAGTTTTTCAGTAAAATTTTAGCAAAACATTGAAGGAGCCAAGTTGGGTGAAACAAAAGAAATGTGCATTTTGCAGTTAAAACTGGCATTCTTTAATTAATCTTGGTGGACTTGAATTGTACTGAATGCCTTGAAAAAAAGTTTTTTTGCAATGTCTGATAAAATATATCAGACGTCGTGTAAAACATGGGTTCTCACCTTTTTCACCCTGTGGACTGGCTGGGGAAGGCGGGGCACCCTTGTGCTCGTGCACATGCTCAAATGGCAGTGTAGCGCTTGTGCAGGCGCTCGGGCGCATGTGCAAACAGTGGTGCAGTGGTCGCATGGGCACACTGGAGCGCAATTACATGTGCAAATCAGCTCTGGGGGGGTGAGTGGATGCGGAGGGTGGGGCGGGAGGTCTGTCTCTCTGGCCCGGTCCGACTCAGGCCACAGATTGGGGTTGGGGAGCTCTGGTGTAAAACATATCTAAGAATCTTTTTTTCTTGTTATCTGTCAGGTTTTTTTAGTACAGTAGTTATTCCTGAAATAATACAGTATTAGGTAGCAGAAAGGATTTATGGTTTTGATGTTTGTAAGTTATGCATGCATCCTAAATGTTTTGAAATACTGCATTTTAACTGTAATAAACATAGTAGTGCTTTCTTATTTTCCAGTGCTGGAATTGGACGAACGGGAGTTCTTATCACTATGGAAACAGCTATGTGTCTTATTGAGTGTAATCAGCCAGTATATCCCTTGGATATTGTAAGAACGATGAGGGATCAAAGGGCCATGATGATCCAAACTCCTGTAAGTTATTGATCCACAGTGGAACAATTTAGCTCCAGTAAAACACATACCTACACTATTTATAAAAGGAATTGTTACAATATACGTAGGTACCGACTTTCGTCTAAATGTTAAATGCAACCTTTTCATGGGACTTAAATTTTTTGGTGGACAGTTATATGATTTCTCAATAAGCTGTGATTTGAAAATGTGAAACCAACTTAGGGAATGAATACATGCTTCTCTACACCATTGTAGCATTTCCTTCCTCAACTGCTCCTTCCCAATTTTCTGAGAGAAATACACTTTAAATATATATATATATTTTTTTGGGGGGGGGAATCTTTATCTTCACTTTTTTAAAAATTGTGGTTAAACAACTGTACATTTAATTTAAAGAAAATAAAATATTCAGACTGATTAATATTTAATTTACTATGAAATTGTGGCCCAGAATCCTTTTAGATTTTAACTGCAACAATACAATGGCATGTATTGCAGCAATGACTTGCTACTGGTTAAATGAGTCACCACCACTTGTATTTCTTGTTGTGTGTGAGCTTGTGTAGTTGGCTCACAATGAAGGATTCAGGCAAATACTTAAAAATTAGGACCTATTTCCTGTTGAAATTTATGCCGTTTCACTTACACTATTGTAACTAACCAATAGGATTCTGAACAACTGTTAATAGGAAATTATATTTTAAAAGCTCAGTGAAGTAAACTATTTTTCAGAATATGAAAAACAGGAGCAGATGAAACATGGTCTACAGACTGTACTCAGCCTTCCAGGGCCTCCAGTATGGTTCTCTGACACCCTCATGCCGAAAATGTTTGCCATACAGAGATACACACTGGTGACCTCAGACATGTTGTGGTGGGGGAAGGGGAGCAGTTGGCCATTTAAAACCTATTCTTTTCTTAGCCCAAAGTAGCCTTTTTATTTTTAAGAAAAAGTGGAAATGACTGTCTCTCTTTTAAGTTTGAATAATTAGCAACTATGGCTTGTACCTGCCAAGGTTTGGGGAAGGGCTTACTGGCTACCTACCCCTGTAATAGATAGGCCAAAATCCAGTTTTAGAATAACCGGAATATGGAAGGGCAGTTCTGCAAGATATTCTCCCCCTCTTACAGGCTTCCACAATGTGGCCCATGCCCAACTTTGCTGCCCTGTGCATGATGTGAACATGTGAACAGATTATCTGCCAGATGGGAAACATGTGCTTGCCCTTTTGTCCTTATTGAAATAAGTGGAATTATGGCCATGTGGTGTTATATGGAGATGCAAGCACAACCAGAGACATGAAGTCTGTGGAGGAAAGTGTAGAATAAAAATGCATTGCATTGGGTCCAAATTGAGTAGGCTCACTTAAATAGGACAATCATGATTCTTATAAATTTCACTGAGTATGACATCCCTTAATAAACAATGTGCTTAATATTTATTATTATTTATTTGTCTTATTTATAGGCTCCTTTTCTCTCGGTAAGGAGACTCAGGGTGGCTTGCAATATAAAAAACAGAATTAAAAACACAATAAATTGTACATTAAAAATTAACTATAGAGCTGATTTTAAAACAATAAATAATTAAAAACATGTAAAATATTTTAAAGTATCTTAAATAAAAATGGGATGAAGGTATTCAGTCATGATTATTAAAAGCCTACCTGAAAAGGTGGGTCTGTTTGCTGTCAGCAGAAGGATAAAAGGGTGGGGACCAACCTGAGCTCTTGAAGGAGAGTATTCTGTAATCTGAGAGCAGACACAAATAAGGCCATCTCTCGTGACCCCATCAACCATTCCTGTGGTGGCAGTGGGATAGAGGGGAGGGTCTCCTCTAATTATCTTAGGTGCTGAGAAAGCTCATATGGGGAGATATGGTTCTTCAGGTAGCCTGGACCCAAGCCGTTTAGGGCTTTATAAATAATGACTAGCATTTTGCATTGGACCCGGAAACAGACTGGTAGTCAGTGCAGTGGGTTTTGATTAATTAACATGGATTCTTAAATTTTCTCATCATCCTATTTCATATTTTGGATTGTTACTTTTGTATACATTTTTGTGTGACAGGAGGTCCAAGAGTAGATTTCAAGGTGATTTTAATCAATAATTTAAGTCTTTTCCAAAAGACCAGTTTAAACCACTGGTATAAGCCAGATTTAAACCAGTTTGTAAATTAAGCATTTTATGAACGTGAATGCATATTAATTAGTTGCTGTAACAACTAAAACATATGGGCCAAAATCCTGCTGCCCTACGGTAGGCCCGTTGAACCATGGAGATTAAGTTAACACCTCCGTAACTTCCATTGATTCAAATAGGCTGAACTCGGACTTACTATGCTAAGATTGTGAACCCAGAACAGTGTTTCTGCATGATATGGAAGGCATGTTAATATCATTTGAGTATGGGTTTTGCAATAATATTGTATCATAATATTTGCCTTAGAAGTCAGTTTTTTTCTGAAATTGCAAATTAGGCTATCATTTGATAATAGGCCATCAATCTACTTTTTAAAAGTGCATTTAGATTTCATTTTAAACCAAGTTACTTCTATAAAAGTGACACTGTTAGATAACTTTAATATCCAGTTTATAGCTGATCAATCAGTTTCAGTGTTTTAATTGTCAATATTCATCCAGCAAATGAGTCTCCTGTGTCAAACAGATATATAATAATTAGAGAGAGGCACAATGTAAGTTGTACAAAGTAACCTGCGCAGCTCCACAGGTGCCATGCAGATCCTCCCCCGACTCCTTGTGCCGGCTTGACCACTCACTTGTGTTGCGTGCCGCCAGGCTCCTTCTTCTCCAGCACTGCTCCAGTCTGGGCTGCCGGAGGAGGCAGACATGAACAATCCAAGTTCTTGCCCAGATTGGAGTGTTGCCAGAGAACACCAACCCTGGTTGCATGCGACACCAGATGAGTGGCCCAACCGCCCCAGAAGATAGGGGGAGGATCCGTGTAGCACCTGTGGTACCATGCAGGTTACTTTGTACAAAGTCATGCCCATCTCTAATAATAATAATAATCTTAGAACTGCAGAGCTGGAAGGGACCCTACGGATCATCGAGTCTAGCCCCTGTCGAGGAGACACCATGAGGAATCAAACTCCCAACCTCTGGCTCCACAGCCAGATACCTAAACCCACTGAGCTAGCCAGCAGTTAGCAGTTCTAGTAGCACATATCTAAGATAGGTGATCCTGCATTGTGTGCAATATCTCCTTCCCCATTCCCTCCCCTAGGTATGGAGTTGATCAGCAAAGTCAGAGCTGATGCTTCTGATTCACTGTTTGCTTCTCAGGAATGTCATCTGTGCATTCCAGATATTTCCCCTTCAAAACACATTTTCATGCATACATTAGAAAAAAATATACGAACATAATGAGTTTCTACTTTCTCTGTATCAGGGCGTACAGACTACAAAGCAAACAATTAATAATATTTTAATGTATTCAGAGTTTGTAAGACGAAATGAATGAAGAGACTTGCTTTTAAAGTTAAAAAAGAAATTAAAGCACACAAAGACAAGTAATTGTCCTATTTTTAATCTTCCATGTTTTAATAATAAATTTTGAATTGGATTTCTAGGTTTGTTCCACTATAGCAGAAAAAATAGTCTCTTGTATATGCACATATACATATTAGACCTTAGTTTTCTCAGAATACAATACAAATATGAAATACACCACTTTAAATTGCTGCAAAGTCACTTTTTCAAATTGTATAACATTTGTTAAATATTTCATATTTTATGGACTTTCAATAATATATCTAATGTTCAGTGGAACTTGCAGTTGTCTGATAAAGAGTTCCATAGGTCTTAGCTTGAGCAACAAAGCCTCAGTGAATTGTGCAACAGAATCAAAGTATCAGATTTGACAATGGTGTAAGATGAAAATAGGTTATCAAGCTTTGAGTTAGGGAAATTACATTGTTATATGCAACTTGTAAGTGTTAGATGTATATTTAGCCTTTTCCTCAATTTAAACCCCTCTTCTAAAGTAATTAACAGACAAAAACAGTTTAACCAAAGTAATTTTCACTTCTATCGTCACTACTGATTCAGTGTTTACCTGCATATACAGTTTCTTGCATAGAAATAGAACTGTTCATTCACATAATTAGTAAGTGTTAGATGTACTGAGTGTTTGATAAAAACAATACAGCTAAAACAGTACTTGAGGAGCTTTAGTGAAATAACTCAGAGCTGGAGGTAAAGAAGGTATTTATAGAAGGTAGCCATTTGTTCAGAGGATGCAAGTTTATCTTTAACATTTTTTTGAAGTATTGATGTCTATCAGAATATTCTGATAGTCCATTGATAATATCTGAAAACAATTCTGCCCTTACAACTTACCTTCTGTTTTTCTCGTTCTTATAAATTACTGCGTTGTATTTTCAGAGTCAATACAGATTTGTTTGTGAAGCTATTTTGAAAGTGTACGAAGAAGAGCTTGTTAGACCTTTAAAGACATCACTGCAGTAATAGAAAGCAAAAGATACCTTTCAGAAGAATCCATGTAAGACACTGGCTGCATTCGTCATGCCATAACTCTGCTTGCAAGAAATGGTGTCTGAAAAACAATGAAGAACTGAAAAAGACTTGGAAAAACTTCAGCACTATTGCACTTTATGTTGAAACTGAAAACCGGTCTCTAAAACACAATGATTTTTCTGTGTTGGAAGACTCTCAGTGCATTGCTTCGACAAACCACAGACTGAATGGACTATGTGCATTTTGGATAGCTTTCCAGACTTCATTGTAGTGCCATATAGTCCCTTTTGTTTGAACTCCATCAAAAAAGGGGGGAAAAAGGCTTGGAACACTTTCACTTCATCTGACACTTCTCTTTCTAAAGCAACAACAATACATACAAAGCCATTTCTTCCTGTGCTACATTTAACTTGCTGTTAAGGTTCTCACTGTCTCTCTTATTTTGGTGAAATATTAGCAATATTACTGCTACTAGACACACTGCCTACTGAAGCAACATAGTTTTGCCCTATGCCCTTCTAAAGTTTAATCTGCATAGTAATGAAAAACTGCAGTCTGTTCTAACCCAACAGTAAAGGCCCATTTAACCTGCAGCTTGTTTAGGGTGGGGTAGGAAAGAGGTTAATTTCAACCGGTAGCTATGTTTCTCAGCATGTTGTAACATTGGTGTGTTGTGTTCTGAAACATCTGGTCACATTTCCTAATGGAAAGGATGCATGTATTTTGTCTTAACCCCTTCAGTGCCTTGAGATGTAAGGTATTGGCCCTAAAGGGAAAGTTTCATCATTGTTACATTTCAGTGGGTTCCCATTTTAAAGCATGGCCCTTGGTGCTTAGAATGTGGTATTGTGCACAGGCACAGCCATACCATTCCTTCTCTTTCTTTAAGTACCTGCATGCTACTGTGGGTAGCGAAAGCACCCCAGCCTATTAAATACGTAATTATTGTTTACTCTGTGAAATGAAGTAAAAAAATCTGACACATTCCTTTTGATTGGTAAAATGTAAGCAACACTTATGAAAAGTCAGTATATAATGTTCTAGAATTTGTTCCTCCATTTTACTGGTACATTGAGAAAAAGAGTTATAGCTTGAATAGAATAAAACTTTTTAATAACACTGATCCTCCACATTAAACCTGTAAAGTCAAAGTAAGCCTTCCCAAACACATTTGTTTTCTTTGAGTCTACATTTGTTGTTTTTCAGATTAGATTTGTATTCGGCTATGTTTTTAAAAGCAAAAAAAGGGGGGAATATCCATAACTTTGTCCACAAAATACGTCATTTTTCCATGCGTTCTTTAGGGTCTTAGTGATGCTTTGTGCAGTGAAACTGGTTGTGTATTTCCTTTTAAGTCACTAATTCGTATACAATTGGAAAGTGTTCATTCATATAGTATCTGAGTTCATTCTAGGGTCAGGTACAGATTTTTCTCTTCTATTCAAAATATACTTCTAGGACAGTTAAAGCCACTTTGCTGGTAAGTTTGCCCAGATTCTAGCACAATAAGTTTGAGAGCTGTTTTTTTTCTTTCTGAAAACATAATCTGCCCTGCCCTGTGACTAAAAGTTTTGATTAATGACCCAGTTGTGTTTTTTAAACAAGACACCTAAAGTATAGAATGAAAATACAGAATGTTTTAAGATGTGTTTTTAAACTATAATATTCATATATAATGGGCTGCAGGTAATGAGGCTGGAGGATGGCTTTGTTCATGCTAGCAGAAGCATCGGTATTCTGAGTGGAGTTGACTACTTCTATTTGCATGCTTCCACAGACAGTAAGAGTTTATAAATTAAGAGAGAATGACCAAGATCTTGTTCTGTACTGCTACACAAAATGCATAACTTTCAGAGGCAAATTGTCTCAAAGCAAGAAAACTCATTAGACATGCTCTGTTGCATACTGAGTTGTGCAATAGATGTTTACAGAGATTTCTTAATTTACAGCAATTCGCCCCCCCCCCAAAGTTATGCTTTTTGTGTAGCAGTAGAACAGGATTTCAGCCAACATGTGAGTGATTTTGTCCATTTTTGAAATAACAAATATTTGTCTACTATTCTGCCAGCAGGAGATCTGCTCTCATACACATGAATGGAAATAACCTTTATTGAAAGACTAGATCCAAATCTTGTTATATACAATTTATTCACAGTGAGCTTAAATTATTTGGTGCACAGCTATGATGGCCCCATATCCTGATGCCAAATAAAATAGCAAATAGAAAAGATTTAGATATTTTAAAAAACCTTATTGGCAGACGTGTTTGACTTATTTACAAAGCAAACCTAGTAATCTGGATTTTATGATGTTAAAATTTAATATAACTTCTTGTTTGGGTAGGGGTAAAAATGAATACCACTTCTTGCCGGTGATTCCTTTTACACAGTTGTGATAAGATGGCATTAGCTAGAATGAGCTCCTTAAAAATCCCATTCTTAACTGAGCAGTTGTCCTATCTGTAAGGAATATAGTGTATGGGGATATATGTGTCCACATAGTGGAACAATTTCTGATGTGCTCATATTTTTGACAGCTTTTTGAAGGCGATGGTTGGATCAAGTGTTATTCTGTATGAAGTAATAACTGTGAATCCACTGGCTGTTCCAAGTCTGATGCTATTTAGCAGAAATGACAAGTTGTAATATATTTTCAATATGCTTAGAGCAGTTCACGTGGCCAGATAATCCAAATATGATGACCAATTAAGGCAGAATCTTATTGCTGCCTTGTGCAATGTTAACACTCCGCTGATGGAGTTCTCTGTAATCTCCAGCTTGGCATTGCTCAAGCTAGAGATTGGTCCATTGAAATCAGTAGGGCTGAGGCTTGCGAAAGGGGTATTGGATCCCTCCTTGCACAAGCTGATTGAAAAGTTATACCACCCATACAATGGACAAAGAGGATTCTGTCTTGATAATTTTGCTGTGCAGTCATCTAAGCCATCCTTGGATATCAGTGGATATAAGCAATATAAGCAATGTCTAGCCACTTTGATGAAAAATCTGCAATGGTAATTTTTACCAACCAGTCAGAATGACAAGTAGGAAAGGAAAAAAGGCCAACATACTTCTTACTTGTGGTTTGTTTTAAGACGCTTGCTTCAGAAAACAGTACTTGGGAAGTTTTTATCCATGGGATTTGATTATTGTTTTTCTCAATTATTTTATACCATGGTATTGGTGATCTGCAGGACTAATTTAAGCATTTCTAGCATGTTAACATAAATATTATTTTTGCAGCCATTCTCGTGAAGCAACTTACAGTCTTAGCATTGCCAACATATAAATGGAAAATTATAAAGTGGATGAAGGGGAAAAAAACTAGATGGTATATAGCAGCACTGTATATCATCAGTATTTTAAATATGCTGATATTGTTACATGAGTTGCCAAAGCAGTTTGAATCAATGAAAAACATTTATATATAGTTTTGTTGGAGTATATTTTTGGTACTTCATATATTGCTCTAACATAAGGATAGAAACATTAGCTGCCTTAAAAGCCTCCACCTCCCCAGATATAAGCTGATTTAGGGCTTACTGCTCAGTAGCATTGAATAAATATTGAAAGAGATTAGTTTGGCAGGATCACCAGCTAATCAACAAGCTAGAGAAATGCACCTGTGGTAAATAGAATAGTAACAAATGAAAGCATTCTCACAAAATGTGAATTTTCATAAAATACATCATCCCATCATGGTATAGTCTTTAGTAATATTTTTATATGGCTTAAAATTAATACTGCTAATTACTTTGCATTGGGTTATGAAGATCTGTATCAAGCTAAAAGAAAAGAAAAAATATTTTTTGTATGTGTTTCATTCTGTACAAAACATGAATGTATGTTTCAGACATAATTACATATAAAGTGATGAGTGTTATGGTTGGATTTTACTGGATAATTATTTTCTTACTATTTGCTAAAAAAGATGGGGAGAAAAATTGTAACACTTCCTTTTTTAAAAATTCAGATTGTTTTCATTGTAAATAAGAGCAATAGGGTAATAGTTTTGTGCCAATGTATGTTACAGATGTATGTTTTTTTAATCTTGAAAATGATGATTATTTAAGGTACTTCTGAAAGTTGTCTAAATGCAGAAATCTAGGACTGTTCAAGACTTGCTAAAATTGCTTCTTTGCCTTTTTAAGTTGTGTGGCTTTTGGGTATGGAAGTATACTTAAGGGTAAGTTAAATAACAAGTACCCACAATGTCAGTCCTTCTCCTAGGAACATGACTTTAAGCAAGTCAACTAATTATGTTACAGTACTTTGAAATGATCCCACCTTAATGTTCCACCTCCAGAGCTACAGTAATGTTCCTGCAGCATTACTATTTGTATAAGAACAGATTTTATTCTTCTTGGCACCAGGTGCTGTGCAATTCTAGAGGATCCCCAATCTTCGGGAGTGGATTTGAGGGGCTGAAGTCAAGAGAAGGAAATGAGAAAGCCTAGGTGTTTGGATTGGTATTTCTCATTCTAAAATGTACATTTTTTGAGAACTAGGTAAAGAGTAGGCCATAAATCATGTTAAGCTAAAGTGCTAGGTGTCCCCACTAAATAAAGCCTACAGCGTTATATCCTGTAGACCAAACTATTATACCACATTAATTTGCAATGAAAGTCATTCATGCTGCAACTTCCATTGGTGGCTTTCTTCAGGATTTTACAAATTCATTATTGTAAATAAATAAAACTTATAGTTAGTTAATCCTACATTATCCCACGGCATTCATTACAGAAATCCTGCCCTCCTTTTACCACAGAAGGCACAAAATGCAAGTGAAGAGAGCTGGGGAAAGGTTTTAGCAGAAGCAGTATGTATGGCCAGTACTTTTCCATCAGCGATGTGCAGATAGAACATCTGTGGAAGGTAGAAAAGCAGGGAAGGAAACCAGTCGCAGCTGTCCAGGGCAGCCAAGAAGTGGAAAGGTCATAAGTGAAATCTTAGTGGTGTTCATAGCTTGTGGAGCATAACTCCACAAGGGTGGTGGTGGGTTTTGTTTGTGTGTTTGTTTTTTGGAGGGTGGGTTGGGAAAGGGTCTGTTTGATAGGGTAAAGAATTACAAGTGTGTGGCCAGCAGTCGGCAGCAGATGGTTCCCCTTGCCCCGAATGTCTTTTAGATTATCTAGCTCATATGCTGTGTTAACCTACATGTGCTTTGTGCAAGTGCCCTTTCTCATTCTATGACTCTACTCTTGAAAAGGAATGAAAACATCTGGTACTATGCAACCCTCCCCCTCACAATGATTATCATAAACTCACCCGTATTTTGTAAACTTCACAACACACTACATATGCTGTGCAACAAAGTTCTGCACACTCCTTCCTTCTATATTCCAGCATGATGACCAGGATCTAGTTATCTGCATGTGTATTCCACCAATGCATGCCAAGAACTAAACTGATCCAGTGGCAGAGGGAAAGAAACCACAAGATGGAAGCTACAGGGAAGAGTGCTCACTGCACTGGTTATTACAATAAGCCTCTGCATTTTAATGCCATAGGAACATGTGCAGAGCACTTTTTCTTCACTAGTCCTATGCCTGTTGTAAGAAAGATCTACACGGATGAGAGGATACACTGAAATGTATTCCTTTCCCTTATGCAATGCCTCTGTAAGCAATCGGGCTCTGACTCTGCAGTCTTTGATACAATTGGCTGTGCTTGGAAGCTGATTATTTGGTATGTGAAACTGACCAAAGGTTTTATTTAGTGAGCACGTCTGACGCTCAGTTGAATTTCAAACTAGATGGGAGAAATGCCTTAAGCACAAACACAGCAGCTTGGTGCAGAGATGCTGTCATGTGAGGTGGCTCTTCTGTTTGTAGTAGGTGATCCTTCACATTTTCTGCTGATTTCTCTCTTTCTGCGAAAGACTTAGTACCACATCCTGTGTTATTCTAGAGCAGTAGTTCCCCAAGCTTGGCCTCCAGATGTTCTTGGACTACAGCTCCCAGAAGCCTTCACCACCACCTCTGCTGACCAGGATTTCTGAGAGTTGAAGTCCAAGAACATATGGAGGCCCAAAGTTGGGGACCACTGTTCTAGAGGATCCCAGGCTTCAAGGGTGGATTTGAGGGGTCAAGAGAAGGAAACAAGAAAGCCGAGGTATTTGGATTTGCGCTGTTGGCTTAATTGGCTTGTTTATGATCTGAAGATCCTGCTCATAAATTTTAGATGTTTTGGGGTTGCTATTCATCTGGGTTCTGGGGAGTGGGTGGGCATTTGTTGTAGCTTGTGTGTGTGCATGAATGCTTGCCTACTAACTTTAATACTTAACTGCCAGGTAGAACAAGGTGAACCTTTGTTTTCAACAGAATGCAACATTAATTTTCTGCCACTAAGACCTGTCATAAAGGAAATAAATACTGGGTACATCTTCTAAATCATGATTAAATCATGTAACAGAATAACAAAGCAGCATATTGATTTTTAATTGATTGTAATGATAAGAATGTTATTGTAACTACTGGAAGTGTTATAAAGCAAAACTAATATATTTGTTTTGAATCTGTCATTCTGGACAATGTAGAAATGCAAACCAGAGCTAAAATTGTCATTTTTCAATATTCTAAGTGGTTTGGTAAAATATAGAAATTTATATTTGTCCAGACAGTGGCCTCTCTGATGCTTTGATGGTGTAACTTTAAAATACCTAGGCTTTAAAAGGGTCTTCTGTGTCACTTGTAAATGGGGTGGGTACTTCACAAAAGATACTTCACAAAAACATTATCAATGGATATATGATAAATTGTATCACCTTAAACCAAAAGTTACTAGCATATGGTTTGTTTGTACAGGGAGATGTGGAAGACCACTATGATAATATTTTGAAAGTGATTTTTGGAAACAAAGCTGATAATCTGGAAGTGAAGAAGAGCCTTTGACTGACAATATTTGCTGGTGAAAATACTTGATATTGAACATAATTTTAAATATATTTGATTTTTGTCTAAATCTCTTGAATTTCAAATAGTAGCACTTTATCTAATGCTTTACTACTGACATAGTTTTTGGACAAAATTTGCTTTCAGATTTAAGAGATGCTTAACTACAGAGTTGATTGGGACTCTTCCTAGTATGAATTATTTCTCAGTGTGCTATCCTTCCACAATTTTTACACATTTTATTTTAAGATCCATTCCAGTAATTCTGAACTCTTCGCACTACCACATTGCACGTAAGTTTTAAATATTAACACCCATGTATCAACATGTAATGCTAGTACTGCAACACATCTTGTGCCAGTGCAACTGTTGATACACTAAGGTGTTTTCCCCCCTGGTTTAAATCTTAGAATTGTCTGATCATTACATATAGTGATTCTAAAAATAACCCCACAAAAGTTGTAAGTTCCTTTCTTACTTGATTTTCTCAGTGTCTTATATTCAGTCATAAATCGAACAATTTAACATAGCTAGGATCTAAAGGGCTGCGCAGAGAGGTTTCCACATGCACTTCAGTTTTGAAGATTGTTTTTTTTCTTGGCCCTCGCCCTAAAAGCTACTTTTAAACTTAGGAGAACTGAGAGAACAATCTCTAGTACAGAATAAGAAAAGCCTAGCAAACATGTGAAAGTACTTGCGCATGTACCTAGTGGGGGCCTTTCTATTCTGAACTGTGATATCCCTGATTATCTTTTTATTTTTAATATTCACAAATCGGGGGAGGGGGGAATCTTTTACTTAAGTTCTAAATTATGAGTAAACGGTAGTTAATGCCATAAAAAAACTAAAAGGGAATAACTTGTGTTTCTTACAGATAGAGGCTATGAAATGGGCAGAAGGGTTAGTAGTTGACACTATGTGGCTTTGGATTGTTCTCTTAGAGTTTATAGACAACTTTCCCAATGCAATTTTCTTCAAACATTAGGGACTGAGCTTCAAATGTAACATTAATTCATCTGAATACTAAAATCAATGACTGGATTCTCATAACAAATTCTAACAGGATGTTTTTGTACTTGTGTGTGGATTTTTGTTTGTTTGTTCTCTTTTCTGGCACAGGTGCTATAGTATATGTGTAAATATAAAGTTGTAAAATCTAATTTTGTGTCTGGATCATAAAATCGTATGAGTGGCCATATTTATTTATTTGTATTGCTAATGATAATAAGTTGGCATTTCTTCTGTGACTTTGCATTGTCCAGTTCAATTGCGTTTGCACTGCTGAATAATTTGGCTTGGAGCATCTCAGCAGCTCAAGTCTTAAGCCCAATAAAACTGTGCACCATCAATTCATCACACAACTCTATTCCTGTGTAAAGAGATCTGTGTCTTGAAATTGTGTTTATATATTTTTTAAATTAAAGGAAACATTATTCTACTAACAGCCTTTACTCTAAGCAGCAGGAAGTGTGCTCAGTTGAAAATAACATGCACTTGAATTTGGACAACACTGGACAATGTGAGATTAATTCAGCATTTATCACTGCAGCTACTGTATGCTTTAAAAGGGCCTTATGTGTATTTGTCCGCATTGGAGTAAAAGGAGAGTTCTTGCCATTAATAAGGTACACTAATGTTCTACATACTATACCAGCAGTTCCCCAGAGAAAGAAAGAGAGAAATAAATACTTAACATTTAACAACTCTTGTTTTTAGTCTTAAGAGCAACTTCATTCTACTATGTGAAATATATGCTGTTATACATATTTTGTGGATATATTTAATTTTGATTGACAAATAGTTGTCTAGGTACAAACTTGAAAAAATATAGTTTACTTGTGGATCTTAATTGTTTAATTGCAAAATAAAGATGTGCTTTAGTAATTTAAAGTTTGGAGATTCATTATTAGTGAAAACTAACTTGTATGTCACATAGGTTCATATCAAGGATGTACTACCCTTTTTTATTTTTATGTGTGTGCCCCTACGTTGTTTAAAAGTTATTGCTGAACTTGTACACAGAGGTCCAAATGATGGCATTTTGGCTGATATATATAATATTAATGGCCTTCCCAGGTTTAGTTAGCAGAAAACAGAGGTACAGTTTTGTGTCACTGATAAATTTATGATATCGAAGCCCAAATCTCTGGACAACTCCCAGCTGTTGTTATATTATACAGCATTTTGTTCACACAATTGGCACTAGATGCTTATGGGACGTCCACAAGCAAGACATGAATATTAGAGCACCCTGTGACTTTTAATGTTCCCCGGTTGCTGGTATACATTCTACCTCCCATGTTCTGAAGGTTGTTCTTCTGACTCCTGTCCTCTGTAGTTGACGGCTACAGAGACTGGCAAAATGTAAGAAGAACAACCTTCAGAACATGGCCAAACAGCCCAAAAAAACCTACAACAACAAATTGTAACCTTTACTCATTAATTGTCTTCTCACGTTGGTTATTTGCATCAGCTTTTCCAGGTCTACAGTATCTTGAAGAAACATGACCAGCATTATGCTTGGTATTCAAGATATAATTTCATCACAGATTTGTGTACAGACATTGTGATACTGGCAGCTTAAATTTTTTTATTATTATTTTCCTGTTGACCTCATAAAATAGTTTGGCTTTTTTTTCCAGCCACAGCCATCCCTGATGTTTTATTGATAACTTTTACATTTATGTCCCACTGCTTCAATGAGCTGAAGGCACATACAAAGCTTACCTCCCTGCTTTCTCATCATAGCCTGTGAGGTAGGTCTGGTTAAAAGAATGTGACCTACCCAAGACTTTCCATGAAGTTTCACAGATACGGGGATTTGATGGAATGGGGCTTTTCTAAAGGATTATTTCATTTTTCAGGGTGACATATTGCTTCTCCAAGACCCTCATTCTCTGTAGTAGCTAAGCTCCCACCCTCTTAGCACTATGCATTCTGTGTTTTATGATTATTGATCAAAGCAACTGGCAATCTCAATTTTACATGATCTCTGCACTTCTCACAGGGAGAACAGCAAGGTTGGAAGTACTGTAAATGCTAAAATTACAGAAAAGGATAAATAGTACAATAAATGGATACAGAGACAGCTAGAATACATCTGGCTACAGACCTAAATGCCAACAGTGTTCTCACTTCGATTCTGGGAGCACTATTACGGTTCTCAGCAACATTACCCAGAACATCCAGAACTTCTTTATTTGTTCATCTGCTAATGCAATTTATGCCATCCTTTGCCAACAGTGCCCCTTTGCACTCTACATATGAAATACAGGTCAATTTCTATACAAGAGAATAAAGGAACATAAATGACAACAGGAATGTGAACACATCAAAGCCAGTTTCAGAAGCCTGCTGCCTCCCACTGTGTTACTGATCAGAAAGTAACTTGTAGAAAAAAAGATTTTCAAAGCAAAGTTGGAGAGGGAGACAGCTGAGGTAAATTCCATCCATATATTTGGGTACAGTACTTGGCTAAAGGCTGAAATAAAAATCAAGGCTTTTTTTGTATGTACTTTTTTCCATATACTTTATTAAGGAACTGTCTTTACAATCTTGTATATAGACAAAAGTTATTTACTAAGGCCTCAGATCAGAAGTTGATTCAAGAAAACACCTAACCATTTCATGAAGAAACCTCTTTGCACTTCAGAATAAATCATATGTTGACCTGAGAGAAAGTTAATGAGTCTAGCTCTGGGCAGGATCATTATGTAACAAAATTCACCATGGTGTTAAGGCTATTGTCACTTTGAAAATTCCACTGTTTGAAACTCATAATTAGGTACCATAAAGTCAATTTAATGGCAGGCCTCTTGGGTTTCTTTTAGATACAAAGCACTTAGAAGTGGCTTAGGAGTCCCTCCTCCTGGTGGTGCTCTGGGACTGTGCACCCTGCCCAAAGGCGTACAGGTGACTGGCACATAACCCTAGCAGCCATATATGTGTGAGGGCATCTTGACTGAAAAGATTGTAGTGATTTCAACTCCTGGTCGCTGGGTTTTCCAACAGATACAGCACTTGTATATAAACTGGTGACTGAAAAAGCTTGAAGAAATGGATTGGAATCTCCGAACATTCACACTGAAATAATTCTGTTAATCTTTAAGGTGCAAAAAATACTTTTGCTTTTTATTTTACTGATTGATTGATTATCCGTCCCGTTCCTTGGAGAGTAAAAACCATTGCACTCAGCGTGCCGATGTGCCCGAGGCACCAGTTCCAGCCCGGTTCTACTCGGAAGTAAACGGGGAGCCCCGTGAGTTGCTCAGGGAAGGGCGGTCTTCGGCTCCGAGGCTGGCAGCCTCAGGGGTCGCGTGCCTTGAAAGCAAGGCAGCGGAGTTTGAAAAGCAACCGGATTGCCGTGTGACCGTGGTGTGGGAATACGAGGCGAGCTCCCTTGCGCCATGAAAACCCAAGATGTCCCTACGGCTCGCGGCCGTGGTGGACGCTTGACGAGGAGGCCCGGGCTGGGTGGGTAGAAAGGAGAAAGAGAGGAGGCGGAGGCAGCAGCAGCCAGGGGCGGCTCCTTGGCCTTACTCAGCGGCCATTTGCCTCCGCCCCTCGTAGCCAGCCCGGGATTCATTTCCTTCGTATCTACCGACGCCGCCGGTCGGGTCGGGAAGCGGCGCGCAGGTGCGAGGAGACGAGGACGAGGGGCAGGTGGACTGGTACGTGGGCGAGGGTTCCTTTGTTTGCGTGTGTATGTGAGTGTGTGTGTATCTGTCTTGGCGGGGAAGGGCGAGGCGGGAAGACTGTGTCCGGGCGGGGAGGTGTGCGCGCTAAAGAAAAGCTGCCTTTTATTTAGCGCACACTAAAGCTGGTAGGTTGTTTCCTCCCGCCCGTCCCCCCCCCCGACCCTGACCGCGGGCTGGCGAGGCGCTTTCTGAACGCCTTGAGCAAAGGTTTTATGTAGGGCGTCGCTTGGCGCCCGCCTTTCCGAAGGAGGCGACCCCAAAAGGGCAGCTTCGCGTATTTTGAGAGCTGCCCGACCCCCTTTCAGCCCCGAAGGGCTCTCTCTCTCTGTCTCTCTCCCCCCCACACTCTTTCGGATTAGCCCCTTTTCTGCTTTGCAGACCCCGCCCCTCCCGCACCCGTCGTGAACAGTAGTGTTTCAGGGCCCTCGTGTTTTGCACGGCCGCTGGTGAAAGGCCGGCCATATAGTGTGTCGCGCTTTGATCGTGGTTGACCCATTGTGACAAAAGCCCGGACTGAGCATAGGATAAAAGGAAGGCAAACTGCTTCCAGGAAAAGTTAAAAGGTGCCTTCAAGACATTCAGAAGTTTGACTTGCTTCTTGACCAACTATTCTGTGTGTTTAAAGGCCCTGTATTGTATTTTCCTTTGCTTTTTTAGTCACATTCTCAAGATTCCTACCTGTGTTCCTGGAGTGGTGTTTGTGACTAATGCTTAATTTACCCTTTTGTTCTGAGCATGCCAGGTAATCATAAGGAACAGGGAAGAGATCTGTAGTTCTCTGCCCCTCTCCCCACAGTTTGCCTACTTCCATAGCACTTCACATTCGCCATCCTTTGAATACAGTACAGTATTGTAACACTGGAAGCATTCAAGCGAAATTTAGACAACCACCTGGCAGATATCCTTTGATTTGTATTTCTGCATTGAGCAGGGAGTTGGACTTGATGGCCTTATAGGCCCTTCCAACTTTATGGTTCTATAACTGGGGAGATTAATTGTAGATATTTCATCTTTATCAGAGTAGGGGTGTAAGAGAGTCCTGACACTTACATCCTGTTGTATGTTGATCCCATACTTGACTGAATGGACTTGCTTGATATGGTTAGTGAATTAAGATCAGACCTGCTGTGGCAACTCTCTGCTTATTTTTAAAGTTTATACAATCTAGCAATTTTTTTCCTCATGCATTTCCCCCCACCCTCATTTTAATTAATACTATCTCAGGTGTGACTTGCTTCACACATCCAGAGCTGAAATCCATTTTCTGCTAGAGATGTGGGGGGGCTGCATCCTGCATGTCTGATTTTTGCTATTCTTTCTAAACATGTTTTATGACTATCCTCCTGCCTTGAACAATGTTCAGAACTTCATATGTGCAATCAGTTAACTTGATATCAAAAGCTGTTTGCATTCATTTTGTAATGGAAGTAACAATATGAGAGCTTGAAAATTGACTTCTTTAGGGGGAGAACCACTACATATTCATTCCACCTATGCACTGTTTCTAACATAGCAGACACTGGTATCTCTGCCTTAGGTATAACCACCTGCTATGGCCTGTCCCTCCTTCTTCATGAAGGCTACATACAGCGGGTAGGATGCAGTCCAACCTCATTTCCAAACCTCTTTCCCTGTTTTTAATTTAAACTTGTGTGCCCAAGGGGATTTCCACGTACTTAAAACTCAAGTTTTCAGGACAGGAATGGAGACTTTTGAGAGCTGTGAATGACTCTTTTGAGGGGGTACATTTTCCTGTTGTTGTGTGCATGAGGAGGGAGGCAAAGGGTAGAACACTGCTCTCCAGATTCCCGTACAGTAAATAGTTGTGGGCCTGTCCATTTCTTTTTGTGATAGGTCATTCTGGGATCAAAACACAAAAGAGAAACCAAATCAAATTTTTTTTGGCATATGATCATTAACAATTCTTACTCCATGGGACCTAGTAACAAGAGTAGTCCTTTCGTCTACTAGGCCCTGGCCCCGTGCCCGATACAAAAATTACACTCTGAACCTTCATTGTTTGGTGATCGTTAATGTTTGGAGATTGGCCATGGCACCATGACTCTTCAAACTGAGCCTCTTTTTCAAAACTGAAATGTCTCAGTTTTTATCTCTACTTCTTGGCCAGTCCAGCTAATACTGTTTGGACATTGTGGGAATCTTTCCATTGCTGTTCTAGTGCCCTGTCCATGCAACCAGTAGTAACACAAGAGAATTGCCTGTGATAATACAGTATATTTGAGAATATTGCTGCTCTGAGAATCTCTCCATATAGAAGTACATTTTAGCCAGACAAAATTTTAAACTTCACTGGCTCAGAACGTTGCACTGCAACCTGTTGTCTGCTTTGAGTAGTTATCAGAGACTTACTTAAGAACAATAGCATATTGTTTGTTGCCAGTTTATGTAGCTACAGGCATCGCAAGTCAAAATTAATTTCTTGGTGGCTAAACCTGATATTAATTGGCACAGTAATTCAGTGAGTGGTAGGTTAATGAAATACACCAGTGGGTGTTGGATATCCTGTGGTCAATTGCTATCCAGCTTAGATACGTTATTTTAAAAGAATGAAATAGATAAGAGATTATTTCTGTCTGTAACATTGCCACAGACCAAATTCTAGGTTTTGTTTCTTCCCAACAGGGGGCTTTTGTAGTTCTGTAGCTCTGTTTCATAGTCACATTTATGTTCAGTGTGCACACTAAATGTTATTGTGATTTGTCCCCTCAACCTGTAGTGCTGAAATATGAGTTTATTTTCCCCCACACCTGTAACTCTTTCTGAGCTAGTCTTTCATTTACTTCACTCATTCCATGAGAGATAATATTGAAGGATTTCTTTTGCCAAAGTTGAATGAATGCACATCTTATTCACTGAGATGTGCTCTCTGCACGTGTGCACACAGTTTTGACTTCAGTATCTCTGTGTAGGGAACAGTGTGTGGGATGGCTTGGGAAACAGGTGTGACAATAAAAATGAATCAGGTTTATTAGTACATGGTGAATGCTTTCTTTCTCAGGTTCTATCATGTGGGATGACAGAACCTTTAAGTGTTGAACAGTGTACTGCCTCAAAATAAAAATAAGTTACAGTACTTTGATGCTTCTGAATGGAAAGGAGTGTAGCTCAGTGGTAGAGAGGGAATTTTGCATACAGTGGGGTCTTGAGAACTTAATCCGTATTGGAAGGCGGTTCTCAAGTCAAAAAGTCTGTAGGTCAAGTCTCCATTGACCTACAATGCATTGAAAACCGATTAATCCCGTAACAGGCCGTTTTTGTTCCATTTTGGTTTTTTTCTGGTCTGTAAGTCAATTCTCAGGCTGCAAGTCAAACCTAAATTTTGCGGCCAGAGAAGTCTGTAACTCAAAAAGTCTGTAAGCCAAGCCGTCTGTAAGTCAAGGGTCCACTGTACATGAATTCCTTATCTAGACTCTAGTGTCTGCAATGATTTTAAAGCGAGTGGAAGTACTGAAACAGACCTTTGCCTGATGCTTTAAATGGCCTTGCCACTCAAAAAAATGGCACTGTGTCAACTGAATCAGTTGTCTGCTTCGATATAGGATAGTTTTATGCTTACACAAGTCAAAATTTTGTAAGTTAATTTTTTAAAACCAGACTGATTGTTAAAAAAACCCAGCTGACCTTCAATTAAAGGAGGCAAACATTTTGAATGGAGGTAGATATTATTGGATTATAATGATATTACTCCAAGCTTATGCCATAACCAATATCTCTGAAGTAGTTTAAATTTTTAATCTTCCAGTTGTGCTAACTTGACCTTTTAAGAATCCCAGCCTCTCACAGTGAGAGCATGTGGCAGGCAAGTCCAGACAGACAGAAGGTGGAAGGCGTTATGTGCCAGTTTATCCTTTTTGGCTTGGAGTGGAGGGTGAAACTTCTGTCAGATATGTATTGTAACTCGCACAAAAGGCAAGCTCTGTTGTGGAATCTGACTGCCCATAGAAAAGCAGACCTTCACATGTATGATCAACCTCTCCTTTCTTAATATGGGAAAGCAAAGGTAGAGCTAATTTTGAAGCCATTAGTGTAAGTTGTGCAGATGCCAAAGTGTTCTTGAGCAACTGTGCATTCTTGCATGACCCACTTCAGAAATGGCGTAATATATTACTGAGAAGCAAAAAAACAAACAAAAAAAAAAACCAAAAAATACACAAAGTTGTCTTTATTTTGTATAGGGTACATCTCTCCATTACTTACCAAAAGTTGCATTCTGAAGTCTTACATTTCCAAGTAGAGTGAAGCCTTCTTGAACTATACTATTGTATACTTAAATTGACCCTGTACAGTGACATAAAAATACAAAGGAGAGTTCGAACTATGTCATTTTTTTGCCACTCTCATGGAACTCTTTACCTGAATCTGTACTTGTCAAGGGTGTTCACTTCCAGCCAGTAGACGTTATGTGGTCATTAATTGCCTGGGTAATGCAGTTGGTCCTCAGAATCTGGCAGGGCAGCTCCAGATTTCTTGAGGTATCTGATTTCTCATTGATTGATCTTTGGAGAGAGCATTTCTGAAAACAATAAGGCACTAGTGGCAAAGTATGTAGGAATCTAGATGACATTATGAATATAACACAGAACTGAATCGTTATAAATTGTGTTTTAACTTTCTTGACTTGGAGATAATTCATGTGAAAGTCATTCTTTTTTTTTAAAAAAATATTCCTGACACTTAGTCCTTTTGCCTATTTAGTAATGATGCTGAGCTTCTTTCGACGAACCCTTGGGCGCAGGTCTATGCGCAAACATGCCGAGAAGGAAAGGCTGAGAGAGGCTCAGCGAGCATCAACTCATATCCCTGCAGCTGGTGATGAAAAATCAATAATTACCTGCCGAGTCTCTTTGCTGGATGGAACTGATGTTAGCGTCGACCTGCCGGTAAGATACAGCTTTGCATCTTTTTCAGCATTGTGGGTTCATGTTTGAGAAAGTGGGCTCTTTATCTCTGAGTTGAATAAGGCATGCATGTATAGTAGCCCAGTTGGCAACAATAGAGAAATTAGAAACAGTTGTTTAGAAATAGTGATAACTGGTCTTAGGATCAGGTATTTTGAAAGTCTTTCTGTTTTCAGTGGGTGGTGATAATAACCATGTGCCATCAAGGCAATTCTGACTTACAGCAACCTTTTTCATGGTTTTTCTATACTGTGTAGAGAATACTCAGAAGTGTTTTGCCATTCCCTTCTTCTGGGGACACCCTGGGACTGTACAGCTTGCCCAAGGCCAAACAGGCTGGCTGTACTCACAAGAGGCACAGTGGCAGATACCTAAACCACTGAACTCTCCAGTGGTAGTTGATACAAAAGGTTAAATCTGTCTAATTTCATACATCTGTGTTTTTTTGAAAACTAAGAGATTGGTTGCATGATCTTCCACTGAAAAGCAGCTAATCATACCTTAGTAAGAATACATTTTCGCTATATTAGGTTGACATATCTAGTAATGACATGACAAAGTAAATTAAGTAATTTCTTCATTTTCATGGTCTTGTGATTGCCTTGAAATTGAATTAAAATTTAATGAATCCTTATTAATTAATTTATTAAATAAACAAATAAATAAATTATTAATTAATTTTATTTATATGCTGCCGTTCTCCCCATAGGGGACCCAAGGCAGCTCATAACATTTAAAATCATACAATATTAACAGTTTAAAATGCCATGCAAAGTTATATATTAAAAACAATTAAACATTAGTCAGGATTAAAAGCAATACTGAAAACATTTTTTTTTTTAAAAAATTAAATTTCCAGAAACAGTATTCCTTAGACACTTATCGCTCAAAAGCCTGCCTGGAGCCCTGTGGTGCAGTGAAGAAGCCATATAGGAGTTTATGGGTAATTGCCAGCACTTTGGTTTGAGCCTGGAAACAGTCTGGTGGCAATGAAGTTGGTGTAATAACATACTCCCTGTATCCAGTGCTAGTTTGACTGTAGCATTCTGAATCAGCTGAAGTTTACAAACGCTCTTTAAAGACAGCCCCATATAGTGTGCATTTTAGGAATCCAGACAAGATGTAACTAGGACATGTGACACTGTAGCCAGATCAGACATCTCCCAGAAATGGGCGTAGCTGCCACACCAGCTTGAACTGCAAAGGCAGTCCTGGCCGCCACTGAGACGTCTGCATCCAAGCTCAGGATTGAGTCCACGAGCACACCCAAGCGGCAAACCTGACTTTTCAGGAGAACCTCATCCAATACAGGCTGAATCCCTATCCTTTTATTTGCCTTGGGACTGACCAGGAGCATCTAGGTCTTGTCTTGATTAAGTTTCAGTTTGTCAGGCCTTATCCAGTCCATTACTGACAAAAGGCATTGTTCTTCAGCGTGGCCTCTGTGAATGCACACATATGGATTAAATCAGCGCCTGTGCTGGAACTTCGGAACCTTCTAGAGCCTTTCTGAAAAAGATACTGTACATAGTTTAGATTGCCCCTTGGACGCATGCTCCATTCCCCCCCCCCAGCCTTCAGTTCCTATTTTTCCGCCACAGTGCTAGGAACACTTCGGATAGAGCTCTTGATTTTTTTGCTGTTTTGGCTTGATTTTCGGACTGTATTTTCGGCTAAAGATTTCCTCTGTTGCCCCTTGACTTCGGACTGTATCAACCATTCTCTTTCTTTACGGACTTTGGCTGTTATTTTCGGGTTTTTTCCCATGGTGTTGTGGATTGCCTGATTGTCCGCCTAATAGGCATCGCAGGGAGCGCCATTATCTACTTAACTCGTTTGCCTCAGGATATTTTGAATCATTGCCATGAGTACCAAGGTTCTCACAGCCTGTTTGTTTTATTTCCCCGTCGGGCCCTTTTAGCAAGTGCAGGGCTTGTTCAAGAAAACTACTCTTTTATGACAAGCACGACTTTTGTTTGTTCTGTCTGGGAGACAGTCATATTCCCTCTTGTTGCCACTGCAAGAAGTTTACAAAGGCTGCGCTTAAGGCAAGGCAGCAAAGACTTAGATACTATCTGTGGGACAAGACTTTATCTGCTTCCCGTCCCTCAGAAATGGAAACTTCTTCCAATCCTTCCATGACTCCTCGGTCTGAGGCAAATACTCCTACTCCATCCACGAGTACTTCAAAGTACCAGGCTGTTAAGATCTTGCCAGGGGGCCCTTTTGAAAGAGCCATCCCTCAAGGAGGTAAGAGGGATGGCTTGTAGACAAAGGGCCTTCTCGGCAGCTGCCCCCAGACTATGGAACGCCCTCCCAACTGAAATTCGCCTGGCGCCGACACTGATGATATTTCGGCGCCAGGTCAAAACCTTCCTGTTCCAGAAGGCTTTTAATTGAAATAACATTAACTGTGGGTCTTAATGATGGCAATTTTAATTGTATTTTTTAATTGTATTTTAATTGTATTTTAACTGTATTTTAATCATTTTATTTTACTGCATTGAATTTTAATTGTTGTAAGCCGCCCAGAGACCTTTGGGTAGAGTGGGCGGCATATAAATTAAATAAATAAATAAATAAATAAATAAAGTCTGGCGTGAAACCGCCAAAAAAGACTGCCTCAGGCTCCTCTAAGAAGCCTGCATCCATGGTTTCGAAGGTGTCCACCCCAAAAGACACCTCAAAGGCTAAAAAGCCCACTGGCCATAACAAAAAGGACAAAAGTAAGGAGCAGACTGCCATCCCTCCTGTCACTCCGTCTCTGCCTTCACCAATATTAGAGAATTCGTCGAGGGATCAAGAATCCCTATCTGAGGCTGCTCCATCTATACCTCCTAGCCAGCAAGTCGATGCCAATTTGGTGGTTGGGTGCTCTCCTAGCCCAGAAAAATTAGAAGAGGGTGTTCAATCCAGCCCTCAATCTGCCCTTTCTAGCCCTGCTGATGGCAGGCGGGCGACTGAGCATCCACGCTCACCTTCCTCTTCACCAAGGCGAAGTCTCCCTCCTAGAAAGAAATCTTCCAAAAGGAGGCATTCTTCAGCAGATCGACGTCGAGCTGATATACAGGGAAGCTCGACATTGAAAGAGGCACAAGCGGGACCATTCTTCTGTTCGACATTCTGTTAGAAGACGGTTGATACACCGACGACGGTACTACAACACCGACTCTACTTCTTATTCCTCGACGTCGGACGGTCGTCATAGACATAAGAAGAGACGCTACACTTCTACATCATCTTCTGACGGGTTGCCTTCTCCCTCCCCCTATCAACGTCAACGGGGCCACGATGTCGAGGAGCCTATGCCACCTAAGAAGGCTCCTGCCAAGGCACCTACCAAGGCTACGTCTACATCGACGTCAATGTCCAAAAGTACTAAACAGGCTGTTCCCTTTTCTCAAAGACAGATGCCGCTGAAGCGGACACATGTGAATCTGATACAGGGGATCCAAACCCATTTTCACCTTCTGAAGATTTTTCATTGTATGTTCAGATGGTGGCCAGGATGGCTAAGGCTTTAGAGATGCAAACTCAGCAAGCTCCCCCCCCCCATCGGATGACCCGATCTTCGGTGATATAGACCAAGAGAGGTTGCAGCCTCTAAGCTTAACTTTTATATCTCAACTAATCAATCTTATACACGAGGCCTGGTCTCAACCTTCCACTCCATTACCTGTGCCCAGACGAACTGAGAATCTATATAGAGTGCATGGAGAGAATACTACATTTATTTTGAAACAACCTGCACCTAATTCTGTAATTGTCCACGCCAACTCTTCAAAGGCATCTGGCAGACAGCATGTTACCCCTACCAATCGAGAGGGTAGGAAGTTGGATGTCTTGGGCAGAAAGATTTACAATTTTCAGACTTTCCTTCTGCGTATTTGCAATTACCAGGCTGCGATGGGTGCCTATCAGAAGTATCTCTGGACCAAGATCCTACCAGCCCTTCAAGGTGCACCTGATGATACTGTACTAGACAGGACTTTCTCAATGCTTATGCTCAGGTGATGACGCTCTCTAAGCATCAACGTCTGGCAGCCAGACATGATACTGATGCAGCAGCCAAGACACTCACCTCTGCCATTACCTTACGCCGACATGCCTGGCTTAGAGCATCTGGTATTGTGGAGGATGTTAGAAAGCAGATAAAAGAACAAGCTTTTGACGCAAAAAGTTTATTTAATGAAAAAACTGATGAGTCCCTTAAAAGTCTTCATGAAAGTAAGAAAACAGCCAAATCATATACAATTCACCAACAACCAAAATTTCAGAAGTCCCAGTGGCAGAGGCAGTTTCCACAGCAGCAGTATCAGCAACAGACCTCTCAAGGCTACAAACAGTTCAGAGGTTCACAAGGCAGGTCATCTCGCGACTCTTCTACCGCTCCATCCTACAAGCAACAAACACAGAAACGTCATTCCTACCGTCCTCCTTCTAAAAAGTCCAAGCAATATATTTGATTCCCAGATCAGTCACACCCACGACCATCTGACCCGTTTGGCTCCATTTCTACATGATTGGCAAAAGATCACAAAGGACAATTGAGTTCTGGACATCATCAAATTTGGCTACAGACTAGAGTTTGTAGAGCTTCCCCCTCTAGGTTATGTAAAGGTGACAACATCCAACCCTACACTGGAGGAGGAAGTTCTCACTCTACTGCAAAAAGAGGCAATACAGCAGGTCCCTCATCGAGACATCGCCAGAGGGTTCTACTCTCGATACTTCACAGTGCCCAAGAAGGATGGTGGGCTCAGACCAATTCTAGATCTGAGGGACCTGAACACTTACCTTCCTCCACGTCGGTTCCAGATGGTCACACTGGAGTCCATCGTCCACCTGCTGAAAAAAGGAAATTGGTTTACAGTCATAGACCTCAAAGATGCGTACTTCCACATAACAATTCACCACCATCACAGGAAGTATCTACACTTTGTGATCAACCACAAAATCTTCCAGTACGCGGCCTTACCATT